AATGGTATCTCAAGCATCTTACTTGGTTTGACAGGTGGTATTTTAAGAAACAAGTTGTAGTACACAAAGAATTGCACAAAATTAGAATTACTTAAAAGCTAAATTATCTTGGACCTCCAACTAGCCATGTCTTCTCCCCATTTGGGGAGAAAACACTAAAAAAAGGAGATAAAACTTTTACTCTTCTTGATGTTTCTGTATGACTCTATTCTAACTTAGCTATCTCCTTCCACAGTATCTAATTAAGAGTGAAAACACTAAAGCAGTAGCCACTCCTTCAAGGAAAATTCTTACTGAGAGAGACAGGCCACTTTCGTTTAAAGAGGACAGGTCCCTTCATCCCCCAAAAAGGGATGTATGTCAATTAGGTTCAGAAAATAGCTACCTGATGCCTTTCACAGTCAAACTTTGAGATTCATGCCTTCTACTCTAGATATAAACACGTCATACATAATCACTTCAAAATTAAAAAGAAAATTTACCTACTCCCTACATGCCAATTTGCTGGATATCTAGGTACTCCTCTGAAAAATTACCTTTTCCAGTCTGAAACAGCAAAATCAGATATTGTAAGAAGTTCAGGAAGACTTATTTTGATTTGACAAACTAAAGATTTTTCAAATACGAGACCAAAAAAACTATCAACCTATACTGCTGAAGAACCATGAAGTCAATAATGAAGACATTAAGAGTCTGTGTGCAGAAAATAAAAACTACGATGGAACAAAATTGGACAAACCTAAACTGATGGAAAATTTCTCATAAAGTATTAACTTCTAAATAAATTCTCATCATGTTCTCAACTCAGGTGGTAGATTAACGTTACAAGAAATCATTATCTTGATCTCAGGAGTTCATTTGCTCAAAATAAGTTTACTTATACAGATGTTTCTCACAAGAAACAGCAATTCACTCTCATTTTCTCACAACACTGAACTAACAGCATTTAAGCCAGTTTATCTACTATTAGGTTAGAAATTCCAAATTCCATTTTGAAACCATGGGAGAGACCCGGAGGCGGCAATCTTTCAAATTATTATTGAGAAGGGGTTAACTTTCCAAACAGATCAGCACTGTGGTGCTCAAGTACCATCAATGTTTTGACACCAGAGAAATGCTTGATCAATACATCTAATGAAACATTCAAGTAGAAGAATGGACTCCTGGTTACACATAAACTACTTCCTCATTTGTCTCACTGATGGCTTTACAGTAGTTTTATATGTATCCCTCCCTCCAGTTCAGGGCAATGAATAAACATTTTGAGCTATACTTGAAACACTTAATGTGGTAAGGATTCAGGAACCTCAATACAAGAGAAAAAAGTACAATTATAAACCCCCTGAAAATTCTAATGGTTTTTATGCCTGAACATAAGCTGTTTTACATTTCTCAGCCATCAGCTACTCATTTATATTTGATATAAAATTAATTTTAAATCAGTCTTCTCTTTGTTTGGAGCACAATGAAATGCAGTCAAAGTTTCTGTCTATTTTTCTTACTCGGAAGATCAACAACCTTGTGACATGCTCCATTAAGTCTCACAAACACACTTTTGTTAGCAAATAGCTTAAGCAGCCTACCAGAACTATCTACCCACTCAGTAAGCAACAAAGAACTTCAAAAACAAACAAAAAAGTACTTTTTGCAGCAGTAGACTAATGTTAAGAAAAATGGCTGTTTAGTACAGGAAATAATTTCCTCTCTTGATTTTATTCAAATTATTATGTGCCATTCGAAGATCTGTTTCTCAAACAAAAACATTTTTTACCCAAATGGAGCTTTTGCACGAGGTTAGGTAACCTGACCAGAAAGCTCCTTCAGGAAATGTCAGAGTAAGGTGACAGATCTGATTTTTTCAGTGCAACGAGGTATTTTGCCCATCTTCCCCTGCTCTCAGTCAAGGTTTTAGATATAGAACTTCCACAAGCTGAAGTAAATTGAAGGACGACTGAAGAGTTACTCCAAGGTTCACTTAAGTGTTGTTCATACAAATTTGAACGATAAGTGGGATTGACTTCCAGATTCCATGAAAATATTTTCTTTCAGATCCCATCAAAGTTATATCAGAAAAAGGTACTGTTTCTTAAATATTTTCCCTACAAACCTATATTAAAAATAACAGGTTATAGCACTAACCCCTCAATGAAAGTACATAAACAAGGTATTTGGAGACATATTCTTTAAGAACCACTAATAATTATCAGATTGAAGACTGGATTTGGACACTTCTGTGCTGTGTTTAATTCTACCAAACACCTATTTATGTAAATACAGCACTTTTTCAAGTGCTGGTCAAGATTTCAAAATTTCTGGTCATGAAATTACTGTTTATTTTTCTAAAATCATTAGAAGCAACAGATGCACCTCTGCACCTATATTTATCACACAAAACTCCTACCATATAATGAAGACAACAGAATATTGCACTGGAAAGAAGACATTAGTAACTCTGATATTTATTATATACTTTCAACTTGAGTTCAAGCTATTATTACAAGACTGCAGTAATTTCTACTGTTTTCCTTGCTGTTTTGATAATGATATTCTTGATATTTAATTGTATAATACAAAAATTATATTTTAAAATAAAAATATGTATTGTAAGTACGTATGTAAAATAATGTATTACTTTAACATACTAAATGTTTTGATAGCTTATTTAGAAGTGACGTGCCACAGTATTTTCTACTCCATTTAAGAATGAAAACAACTGCTATTTGCCTTAAGTATTGTAAACACTGGAGAGTAAAAAAGAGTATGAAAGAAACAGAAAAATGTCAAATAGCCATGAAACTGCAAACTACACATAGTGGAAAAGCTGTAAGACTCAGAACAGTCAAATCCACTATAATTTCCTTAGGATAGCAAGATGCAAACTGAACTGTTTCTTGTTAGTTCAGCATATACAGAAGGACTTCTTACCACTTCCTACTTGTAGATATACTTTTCTTCTGTTTTTACAACATTCCAGAACACCCTAATTCTTTAAAAAATAAGCTGAAAAGTAACTTCATTAAAATAATGAAAAACACTTTCTTATCCCTATTTCTATACTAATTATAAATACTCGAAAAAAATAGGTAGTGTAAATAATCAAACCTTCGTTCTTCTTCTTTAAGCATAAAGGCAGAGATCTGGCACAATTTATTTATTTAAGTAACTACCAAACTGTTGCAAAGAATGGAAGTCTAAACTGTCCAAACCTAAATTATGTTAAAAGATCATTTTTTAAAGCTGAAAAAAACTGTATAAGTAATCAGTCTTCCTTATAAAAGGAGATGATTTTTGGAATGCTAGAATTTCAATATTCATTCATGATCTGAAAAGAAGGTTGAATAAGACAATTTAAGCTTACCAATAAAAGCTTATCAATAATACCAGACAAAGGAAAATTAACAGATACTTCATGATAGGGCTGAGTATTAACGCAGGTAAAAAATCACTGTTGAAAAACGCAAGATTTTTTAAGTAGTACAGAGAAACAATACCAAATCAACACTTCCAATGGCAAACTCTAAATTACTACCATTCAATAATCTTGTATTATGAGTTGGTGATTCCATAAAGTTGCAGCTCAAAACTCAGCAACCGTTCAGATGAATCTTACAAAAGATAATAGAAAAATAGTATGAAAAAGGTTTGAGGTAGTGATGGGCAGAGTTTAAGATAGGATCTGGGTTTTTTCATCACTCATTCCTACAGGGTAGAATTCAATGACACAGACTGCATTTCTGCTTATATAGCTTCAGGTTAAAGTTCTGCATTTCCCCAGCTAAATCATTCATGAAACCTAGTCTAAATTTTAGCCTAGGGCTATGAAGTTCCATGACTACTCTAAACCATACCTGAAAAGCCCCAAGCCTACCAGTTTTTGAAACGCCAGTTCTACAGATGTGGAATCCTGTAACTTCTTCAGTGTATCCTTGTAAGAAATTTCTCTCAGGTATTGCACTAGGAATAAATTGTGGTATTGTTGTCTCAAGAACGTGCCACTGTTAACTTTATATTTTTTCATTAGATTACAGGAAAGAATCCTGGCTTTGCAACTTAATTTCTTATGCTTTAATATTACCTCTGCATCAAAATGAAGGCAAAATGCCAAGCTACAAAGGGATGAATAGTCCCATTGAGATGACTTTTTTTTAGAGAACCCTTATCAAAAGGCAGCACTTTAAATTTAAGAACATGTACTGCTTAATGCAAGGAATGGCCAATACAAGGTGAAATCTCTTAATGACACACAGTACCTACGCAGACAACACTTCAAGAAGCTGAAGGTAAAAATTCATACCTACTTGGATATCTATTTCAATTTGTATTCCTGTAATACCTGTGTAACCCAGACTGAGAGGCTGCACTGGGCTAGGTATTGTAGTTCAATGCTACACCTTGGGACAGTGCCTGTCTTATACCTGAAAACATAAGGGATGTTTTGTGTACCTTCTACCTGACCTAAAGGGCTTGAAGGTCAGGTATTTTTAAAATGAAATTAATTTAATTAATTGGAAGATATACAGAACAGATCAAGAAAGATGAACAACAGTGCGGATGAACAATAGTGCCTTAAAAGACAAAGAGACAAAAGTCAGTGATCAGATACAGTAAAAGTGGTCAAATGATGAAAAAGAGGAGCCCAAAACCAGAATGATAACCTAGAGAACTGACTCTAAGACAAACAAGATAGCTAAGAAGCAATTCAACAGTCAGAGAGAAGATGAATAAAACCTTGAAAACATCACTCAAACATAATAAAAGCTTTTTTAGTTTCAAGCTAGAGAGCTCAAAAAAGGCTCACAGCTGCTAGCCCCCAGTAAAGTCTTATGTGAAGAACAAGTCAATTTGAAACATTTAACACAGGTTCAGTCTTGAGCTTTTACCTGTCATAAATACTGTGAGCATTTTTGTGACTGTACAGGGAAGCTTAAACTCTCTGCAAGCACTATGCTTGATCTAATGAGGGAATGAGAATGGAAATTAGAAAATAGAAAATAACATACCTTATGTTGTTCTATTGCATCTACCCATTGCTGTCTGTGGTCTGGATCCTGAGCCCGGAGGTACCAAACACTGTCATTCACACTGATATCAAATCTGCATTCATCAAAGTCATGGGGCTGTGACAGAAGAGAGTGTAAGAGTAGCTAAAATTAGCAACATGATCAACATTATCTCACAGATTTTGACAATCAAACACTAATTAGAAAATCTGTCTCTATTGTCTCAAATTCATCCTAGATTCTAAATTCTGTATTATGTAGCTGTCTCAAATAATGAACATATACTCTCATAAGGAAAGATGCTGGTCTTCTGAAATAGAAAAGCCTGTGTAATACATTCTTATTAAATAAAATTTTCATAAATAAATTCCATACATAGTAAGTTCCATATTTTCAAATACTTTGAAACAAATCCCTCAGCAAAATATCTACCATACTGGAAAATATTCCTACATATACATTTTAATTTCAAAACAGGACAGGAACTCCATAACATTAGTGCTACCAGTATTAATTTTAGGTAAACACACCCATCATAGCGAAAAAATACCAGGATAGAGCCATAAAAGCAGACTACATCCAAATGACAAGTCGGAGCGGGAACTTACAAGCTGTGACATGTCCTGCCTCGACTATTTTCACCATGAATATTCACAGATAATTGGAAGCCATATGCAATCCTTTCACATCAATCTCCACTCAATTGTATCTAACTTTCAGTTCTCATGCCTTAAATACCAGTAAGCTTTTACTAATGCAACAGTGAAGCTGGTAAGGAAAGTACAGGAAACAGTGATCTCATCTGCCCTGTATCCTGACATTGTTCAATTCAAAGTTACTCCTTAGCAAACATCCAACTGAGCCTAATATTTCCCACACCCTTCATCTTTGAAAGCCAGTTTTAAAGACATGTAATACAGATGTAGCTGAACACCTTTTTGAAATTGAATACAAAGAAAAAACACACATGAAAATAACTGCAGGAGGCTAAGAGGCTCCAGGATAAAGGCTAGTGACATAGTCTGAAGGACCACAAATATTGGTACCAGATGCTAAAGACAAGTATTAGAAATACACACTGCCAATACAAACTAAAACACTGTTAATCACTGACTAAACACTCCACAAAAGAAAACCTAGAAGTAAGTCTCATTTGTTTTCATGCACACCATTTCAGTTTTAGTGAGATTTTTTTTTTCAAAGAATTTGGAAACCAGAAGCTACTTTCACATAAACAAACACACACCTTTCTCTTTTTCTGTTTTTAATATATAAGGAAGAAGAAAAGTATAACATAATACAAATTACAAATTTAAAAAATGAATTGGAAAGAGTTTAACAAAAGTACATAAAAAACCAAAGTGTAAGCTTAAAGCTCCATATACTTTGTCAGGCACTTGAATGTTCAATGTTAAAGAAATTTAAACTTCCCATAGGAAAAATTTCCAGTAACTGAAAGAATTGAAAATCAAGTCAAACAACTATAGCTACTCATTACCCAATACCTGACCATTTCAAGTTAATTAAATTCAACCAACTTTCAAAACTAGTTCTATACACTCCTTTGCCTTCACTGAACCAGACAAAAGGGTGTAAAAAGGGACACAATGTTGTTTGACCCTGTCTGGATGCCAGGTGCCCAAAATCTTAGTCACTACCCTCCTCAGCCAGATAGGGGAGAGAGAATATGATGAAAGAGTCATGAATTGAGATAAGGACAGGGAGATCACTCATCAGTTACTGCCACAGGCGAAACAGACTTGACTCAGGGAAAAGAGTTTCATTTATTACCAGTCAAATCAGAGTAGGATAATGAAAATTTTAAAGGCACCCCATTCCTCCTTACCAGGCTCAACTTCACTACCTATTTTCCTCTACTTCATCCCTCCAAGCACTGCAGGGCAACAGGGAATGGGAGTTACAGTCAGTTCAAACACTTTTTGTCACTCCGTCGTCATGCTATTTCCCTGCTCAGCGTAAGAACTTTCTCATGGGACAGAGACCTCTGTGATCTTCTCCAACATAGGTCCTTCCCAGAGGCTGCAGTTCTTCCTTAACTGCTCCAGCGTGGGTCCTTTCCACAGCACACAGTCCTTCAGACACAGCCTGCTCCAGCACGGGTCTCCCAGGGGGCCACAAGTCCTGCTGGCAAACTTACTACACAACATGGGCTCCTCTCTCCATGGGGCCCCAGGTCCTGCTAGAAGGCTGCTCCAGCATGGGTTTCCCACACCCCACGGATGCTGGTGGGTGCAGGGAGACAATCTACTTTACCATGGTCTCCCCTACAGGCTGCAGGGGAATCTATGCTCCAGCACTTGATCGTGCATTCCCCCTCCTTCCTCACAGATCTCTGTCTCTGCAGAGCTATGGCTCTCAAATATTCTCAGCCTTCTCTCCCAATCCATGCTGCACAGCAGTTTTTACACTTTCTTAGGTATGTTATCACAGAGGCAATATACCATCATGTCTGATGAACTCCATTTTGGCAGGTCCATCTTGGACGCAGATTGAGCTGGGTCTGTGAGATAAGGAGACAACTTCTGCATCTGTACACAGAGGCCACATCTGTAGCCCCCCACCACCAAAACCTGCCACACAGACCTAACACAGGACAAAACAAGTCTTCTAGTCCAGGTCTCTTCAAGCTGAATTTTCTATTACTATTATTATTATATATGTAAAAGAAGTTTATCTGCTTTAGAACAGCAAACTTGCCAAGGCAATGCGTCATGCTTAAACTCCTGTTCCCAGCCACTCCTCTGACAGGCCCTCATTTAGTCATGTGATGATTTACAACAACCAGAGATACTCCAAAAAATCACCCAAACAGAAAGATTAGCTATCAAGGTTTTTCCTGACATGATAGCATTCCTCAGCTTGATCTCTCATTCTTGAAGTCTTCTGGGAAGAGTTACAAGCAATTACATTGTATGCAATTAGAAAGACTTCCCAAAATTCGTCTTAAAAGCCTGCAGCACTACTGATCCCACACTTCTGTATGCTGCACTTACTTCAGTTCACCATCATCCTTGCTTTCCCCTGAATTTCATATCTAATCTAAATATCTTCTAATGCAACTTAAAGACTATTACCTCTCTTCTTTTCAAAGACAGGTTTCTGTACTCACCTTCTTTCCAAAACAGCTTCTAATAGATGTGAAAATTCATGCCTTGTTGCTAAGACATGGAAAGAAGATGTTTTCTCTGTCCAGGTCCAGAGAATACTTTAAAGACTTTTCTCTACTATTTACTGCGTAAACACTTCTGCAGTACATGTAGTTACGAGACTAAGTCATCTATATATATATGTGTGTGTGTGTGTGTATATACACATGTATATATATACACATATGTGTGTGTGTGTGTCTGTGTGTGTGTATATATATACATATACACACACACATACATATATATATATATTATATATATATATATACTGTAAATATACAGACACACATATATATAATTGACCAGCCAGTCAAAGGAGGGGATCGTCCTGCTCTGCTCTGCACTTAGGCACCCTCACCTTGAGCACTGTGGACAGGTTCAGGCATGGAAATATAAGAAAGACATAAAGCTACCAGAGAGCATCCAAAGGAGGGTCATGGAGATGGTGAAGGGTCTGGAGGGGAAGCCTTAGGAAAGGCTGAGGTCACTTGGTCATTTCAGCTTGGAGGAGACTGAGGGGAGAATTCATTGTGGGTCTTCAACATCCTTATAAGAAGCATCCTTACAAAGAAGCAGGCACTGATCTCTTTACTCTCATGGACAGCAACAGCACCTGAGGAGGTGGCATGAAGCTGAGTCAGGGGAGGTTTATTTTGGATATAGAGAGTAAATTTTGTACCCAGAGAGTCGTTGAGCACTGGAAGAGGCTCCCCAGGGAAGCAGTCACAACACCACGCCTGACAGAGTTCAAGAAGTGTTTGGACAATGCCCTTGGGCACACGGTGGGACTCTTGAAGCTCTCCTGCACAGGACCAGCAGTTGGACTCAGTGATCCTGGTGCATTCCTTCCAACTCAGCATATTCTGTGATTCTATAAATCAGGTTTAGGGTTATACTCAGCTCATCGTGCTGTTTCATGTTATAAAAAAGTACAGCTGATCAGATGATCCTGTTAGATCAAGCTGCTTAAAGAAAAGAAATAACCACTACAAGGTTAAATATGCTTCAAAAAGAAGTTAGGCAGGTGATACATGATTTGCTGTTTACCTATTTTAATAGTATGTATTGTTTACCTATTTTCCTTATTTTCGGCAGCTGAAATAATTGTTTATCATCCTTCTCTGATAGGTTTGTTTTTTTTTTGAAAACATGCTTCATTGGAAGAACCCTGAATTAACTGAACACAAAAGACAAATCACCTGAATCATGTGATGTGTTCTTTTCTTAACACAGAACAAATAAGCTTGTTGTTGATTAACCCCCTTCTCCACCAGTACGGAATTCATATTCATTTTCACTGGTAACTTGGCTTCTGTATGTTACTTTGCAGATACATACTCTGTATGTAATGGGCAGCACCTGTTACATTCTCTCCCCCTGAGCTACAGACAAACTTCCTTGGTTCACCTCTGCCTATAACAGCTTTTATTGTTTTCTGTAGCTGCATCTAACAAAGACCACAAAGTGTTATTCACAACTTCTCAGGTCTGTCCTTTATTCTTCTAACATTCTCATAAGACTACTTTGATTCCTTTATGTTTTTCCGTTTCTCTTCACCTTTTTTCCTGTAGACAGCAACTCATTTCATTTAGGTCTCATTTCTTTCTGAGAGTCACTGTTTCTAGCGTAGTGTTGCTTTTCCCTTTTTTACATTCACAAGCTGTTTTAAAATGGTACAGTTCTTAGCCAGTCACATGACAGGACCTTGGAGGATAAATAGGGATTTTCATCTGTAACAAGCTAAGGACATGTGCTGAGGCCAGGATATGTCCTAATGACCTTTCACAACAAAGATAAGGCAAGAAAGAGGAATGTTATGCAGGAAACAGGAAGAAAGTAGGAGTTCGCTATCTATCCTCAGGATTTAAAGCACCTTGGAGAACTTCAGCTGCTTTTTCCCAACTCACAGCAGTCTCAAGCAACGTACATAAATTGAGAGAGCACTGG